CACCCCAGGGTACTCAAGGAGCTGGCGAGCATCATAGCCCAGCTATGTTGGCTAGCACTATGGAAGAAAGAGACTTGGGGGTCATCATTGACCACAAGATGAACATGAGCCTGCAATGTGATGCGGCGGCTAGTAAAGTGACCAAAACGCTGGCTTGCATCCATAGATGGTTCTCAAGCAAATCCCGGGACGTCATTCTCCCCCTGTACTCGGCCTTAGTGAGGCCGCAGCTGGAGTACTGTGTCCAGTTTTGGGCTCCACAATTCAAAAAGGATGTGGAGAAGCTTGAGAGAGTCCAGAGAAGAGCCACGCGCATGATCAGAGGTCAGGGAAGCAGACCCTACGATGACAGGCTGAGAGCCGTGGGGCTCTTTAGCCTGAAAAAGCGCAGGCTTAGGGGTGATCTGATGGCCACCTACAAGTTTATCAGGGGTGACCACCAGCATCTGGGGGAACGTTTGTTCACCAGAGCGCCCCAAGGGATGACGAGGTCGAATGGTCACAAACTACTTCAAGATCGTTTCAGGCTGGACATAAGGAAGAATTTCTTTACTGTCCGAGCCCCCAAGGTCTGGAACAGCCTGCCACCGGAGGTGGTTCAAGCGCCTACGTTGAACACCTTCAAGAGAAAATTGGATGCTTATCTTGCTGGGATCCTATGACCCCAGCTGACTTCCTGCCCTTTGGGCGGGGGGCTGGACTCGATGATCTTCCGAGGTCCCTTCCAGCCCTGATGTCTATGAAATCTATGAAATCTATGAAAGTGCTGGGGACAAACAATCCCCTGCACAACTACAGGCTTGGCAATGCCAACCTGACCAGCACTGAATGAAAGAGACCTGGGGGTAATAATGGACCATGATATGAATTGAGCTGGCAGTAAGATGCTGTTGCCAGCAGGGCAAATAATACTCTGGCATGCATCAATCGATGCATCTCCAACAAGACCAAGGAGGTGATCCTTCCACTCTACTCAGCACTGGTGACATCCCAACTAGAATACTGCATCCAGTTATGGGCACTGCATTTTAACAAGGACATGGCAAAACTTGAGCGAGTCCAGAGAAGGGCCACCCATATGATTCTCTTCACTTGTACAGCAAGCCATATGAGGAAAGGCTGAGGGACCTGGGACTCTTCAGCCTGAAAAAGAAAAGGCTGATAGCGGCTTATCGCTACATCAGGGGAATACTTCAGGGGCTCGGTGAACAATTGTTCACCAAGGCAACCTTGGGGAAAACTAGGAGTAATGGCCACAAAACTCCTGCAAGACTGTTTCAGGCTCAACATTAAGACAAACTTCTTCACAACTAGGGTGTCCGGACTGTGGAATAAGCTCCCTTCAGGGGTGGTGCAATCACCTACCATGGAAATCTTGAAGAGGAGACTGGGCAGTCACCTTGCTGGGGTCCCCTGACCCCCACCTGTCATTTTTCCTGCCTGGTGCAGGGGGCTGGACCTGATGATTTTCCAAGTTCCCTTCCAGCCTTACACTCTATGAATCTCATACGCTTTATTATTGGTAACTAAATGTGAACAATTAATTTCCTCTCGTCTGCCAGACTAAGGCTTTTCCTCTTTCCCCTTTCTGTCATCAAAATTCCCATGCTTTTCCTTGTCAGCATGACTCTCAAACCTAGATTTGTATGTCACACTTTTTTTTCCATACACATCTAGACTCTTGCTTAGTC